ACATGTAGAAAGAATGGGCATTATTGAAAATGATCATCGTCGCTATGGAATTTAAGTAATTGACACTTTGAACTCATTTATGTATTGTTTTTGACAAAATATTATTCATGCCATAATAGTTGATATATGTACATGAATGGATTATATGAATGCTAACAGGAACGGTCTTTTCAAAGACATTATTGAAATATAGTTATCGAACTTCTCATTACGTGTCATGTTAGGTGGGGACAAATATTGTAGTATATGGAAGGAATTATGTCGAAATAATGATGCAAAACTGCCATGACTCTTATTTAGTCTTTATTTAAGGATGATATATTAAGTGACTAATGTACGGGGGAATTTTAATTTTTCATATGCGCATTATGTTATAGACCACATAACGATGTAATATTACTAATGATGGTTAATTATTGATAAAATTCTATTGGCCCTTGAGAAGTGACAGTTTAATAACTGTTCACTTTGATGGAAAGTGAATAGTTTTCTTTTATGGCACATGACTTCGATGGAAGGTGAATAGTTTTCTTTTATGGCCATGAAACTGCATCTCTCTGCCTATAAATGTGAATGAAACCCATCAAATAAAAAAATTCAATTACAGAAAGGAAAAGAGAGAAAACGGTTTCTAGATTTCACCAGTTTCTACTTTGCAGGTTTAAATATTTCAACTATTACTATGGATCAAGGTATGTTTTTTGATTAATTAATTTATATGTGAAAATCACGAATTCTAAAAATCTTGGTATTAAGATTATATAATTGCTTACATACATGGGACACAACCACTGCAATTCTCTCATTAGGGTTGCACCTCATACTGGCTTTTCGAGGAAAAAAGGAGATAGTTCAAGAATCTCTCCAAGATTATCTAGATGAAAAACATTGATCTTTTATTTTTGTTCTTATATTCTTGAAATCCAAAAAATAAATTCTCAATCTAATTCGTGTTTTTATGGTTCAAATTATTACACGTTTACTTGATTGAACGATTGGTTGGCCATTATTTGAACGAATTGTAACTTACTTTGTTACCCTAAGGTCAAAAATAAATTTTAGTACATAGTACTTGTATTGAAGGTCGTAAAGTCAGATAAATATACCATAATGCTTCGCATGATATTTGGTTGAATGCTTTAATTTTTAATGCAATTTTATGCATCTGTGTATCTTTCATAAGGATATCATATGATCGTTTGTAAAAATTACTTTAATTCATGAGAAACGATGATCTTAATCAATTCAATCTTGTTATAGATTGTAATTAGTTGGCTAATTAGCTTAATTCTATATTCCTTATTTACACACTTTCCTAAGATAGTTCCTAGGTTTTGTATCAGAGCCATCAACCTAAAAGGACTCTTCTGGTTAGCAATTGGTCTTGGGCTTCTACACGAAGACTCAATCCTTGGTTTTGGGA